ACTTTTGGGATTTCCAAAATCGATACAGGTGCATCCTAATTTTTTATTTTTTTGAGTCAAATTCATGTAAAGAATGTGTGTGCAAGATATGAAAAAAAATAAAAAAATAAAAAATATAGTGTTTGATATATATATATATATATATATATATATATATATATATTAGAAAAAATTAAAATTTTAAAAAATCTATATTTAAGATTAAATTTGAGGCTGAATATTTGATACTTAGATCTAGAAATGACCTCAGTATGTGCATGAGGGAACCAAATCAAATTTGGCTAATACACCTCAAAACATGTAATCTATATTAATACGTTTATGTGTGTGTGTATATAAATATAATATATATGTTAAAAGAAATCTTGTTTTAGAATACATGTTTAGGAAATTATTATTTATAGAGTAATTAAAACATATAAATAAACACCAAGTTTTGAAACAACTCTAGTATCATATTTAGCAACACTTGCAAAAACAATAAGATGATCCAAATCTATTTATGTAACGAAAATTATGACAACAAATGTTGTTAATAAAGTCAAGCATTATACACCTTCTTTGACCTGATTAAATAAAAAGTATAGTGCAAATATATGATAATATTTTTTTTCTTGAAAAATAATTTCTAATATATTTTAATTATATTTTCTGAAAATTTACTGCTATAAAGATGTTGGTAGATCAAAAATTCGTGTTGTTTCATATTTAAAAAAAAAAAAAAAAAAAAAAAAAAACACACACACACACACATTTTTAATATTCATTATCATAATCAGAGTTTTAATAATATAATTCAAATATATCAAAACCACTTATTAATGCACATGATTTTTTATTACTTGTTTTATGAAACACTCATAAACAAGAGTACTAAATTTTAATATTAACTTAATTGCTCTATACAAAAAAATGTGAAAAGACTCAGGCCAAAATTGTTTTTATCACTGTGAAGAGGATACAGTACTAACTACATCAGTATGAAAAATATTCTTTGAGTAAAACAACGGAATTTTCTAATTTAAAACAATGTATATTTACATTGAAGTTTCGTTTGTTCTTTATAGAAAATTTAAGAACTAACCTTGAACTTGTAACCATCAAGACATTATATCTACTTCCAGAATTATTCTATAATCATAAAAATATATTTGTCAAGTTTCAGTACTTCCGATGGTCTGACAAGTTATGATACCATTTTAAAAGTGTATATATATATATATATATATATATTTATTTATTTATTGTACATGATAACAAAATGCAGAGACCAAAAATGAAATAAGGCAATAAAGTTTTGAAAACCGACTTTAAACAGATCTAGTACTGGTAATAACAACGGTAATAAAGACTGAAATATGAACTTCCCTTCAGTTGAAAATGAAAAACCAAATTCAATTAATGTTTATACAAATAAAGTTTGCAGCATTTGTTATTCTGTTTAAAATAACATAGTCATCAATTTTACCACATCTCAACAAGTGAAAGTTATCATTTTATTAAACTAAATTACTAAGTTATGGAGCAATTTGAATAAGACAACAACCAACAAAAATATGTAGCTGCCCGTGTTTGAAAAAGATAAATAAATAATTTTTTGTTCAGATGTAAATAAGATAGAAAGAATATTGAGATTGGAGCTGTGCTACCCCACAAGACTTCAACACCTACACCTGCTTGAGGTTCCCAAAACTGCCCTGAAATTGCAAAAGCACTCAAATTAAAGTTGTTGGACAAGTATGAGATGTGCCCTTCATTTACTGCACTTCTATTGAGTATTAAAAATGTGCAGTAACCATCTCTTTCATTACTCCATCCCATGAAACACAGCTCAAAGCTCCTTTGTGCACTGAATTCTCTAGCTCAAAACAAGAGTTAAAATTTAAAGATGTACAAATTGATTAGTTTTCCATCATTCAAATTCATCCTCTTCAAGGACACAGCATGAAGTGGAATTATACCATGCCACCCAAGGTAAGTAAATCCAAGTGTCTGCAATAGTTTCCAGCCCCAAATTTGATAACCAGGTGATTTCCCTCCCTCATGTTTCAAACAAAATCAAAATCAAAATCAATCAATCAATCAATCAATCAAACAAACAAACAAACAAAACCCATGTTCTGCTATTTCAAAGTGCATCACACAAGAATTGCAATACACACCACGCTGGCCCTGAGAGACAGCTTCTCTCCACTCTTATGCATCCAAATGGGCCCATTCATTGCCCTTTGTGTTGGTGGTGATGGCGTGGTGCCCATGTTCACTTGTGTGTCGTGCTTGGCATGTTTGCGTAGCCCATCCCCATTGGATCCTCACATGCAATGGAGGGATCAACATATAACAACATACAACAACAGAGGAACTTCTGCCCTTTATTTGTGTATATGGATTGACTACAAAATAAATTGTATTGTTTTTATCCCCAAGTATATGTTAAGTTTGATTTTGCATCCCTATTTAAACAAAAGTATCTATTTTCTATCACAATAAGAAACTTCATGATTACAAATTTTGTTAATTAATTCTTTTTTGGATATGTGTATATATATACGTACACACATACATACATACATAGTTTGTCACAGAAACATTGCTTTAGCACATTTGTAATAAACATCTGTGTAGAAAAGTTGATTGTACAGTAATGTTATTTTTTAAAAAAAATATTAGTAAATGAAGATGATATGATATTTTTTCATCAGCAATTTTAAAAGTTTATTAATGGATGTAGATTAGCAATATTTTCAATACATTAAGTGGTTACAAAACAAAATCAATAAATAAATACCACACAATTCTTGCATTGATAAGGCAAAAAATAAAATAAAAGTAAAGTAAATTAAATATATTTAGAAAAAATATATATATATTATTCTTATAAAAAAATTAACATTTTTGTTAAGTAGAAATTCAACAAGACTGTCTCCAAAAAAACAAATTGGATGTACACAACCTTTTTCTAATACTCTCAAATCAATAATAGAGATATGAATTTATAAAAATTGGTGAAAAAATTATTATATAGATGTTTTAAAATAAAAACAAGAATAAGAATAAACATATTTTATATAAGTAAAATATACCAAATAAATATGAATTAAGTTTGGAAAACAGTAAATGCATTGATAAGATTGAATCTAACCTTTGTCTTGTCTTCATGCATACTAATAAGAAGGTCAACTAAAAGGTATTCACAAACCACAAGGCTTGTACAATAATTGTTCAAGTTGTGGAACACCTCCATTTTAGCTCTATGATTAATAATTAAGAGAATTTTTAATAGAAATACAACATGTGCAAGGGCTTTTGTCGATTTAATTGATGTGTAGAAAATTTTCAACATGTTTTACAAGTAAGATATTATCTACCTAGTTATTGTCTAATTGTTTCAACTAAAATTTATTTAAAGAATAAAATATGCATCTTTGATAAATTTATTGATGTAGATAGTTTAGATATGAAAAAAGAACCATATTTTTAATTACTTTTAAATTATTTTAAAAAATATCAAGTGATATTTCTTACAAAATTTTATATATGCTATGCATAAACATGGTTAATAGCTCCTTTAAGATATTAAAAATATCATATATTAGAGAACAAAATCAAATCATTTAAAAAAAGAAATTAAAGGGTTTCTTTACTACTTTTAAATAAAGTAAAATGGCAATAATTATATTAAGTATTTCTAACTGTAAGATTTAATGTTAAATTGAGTCTCTCCTGGTTTATATCATTAATATTTCTTTTATATACAATTGTAGAAGAGTTCAACATTAAATCTACTATCTTAATTCCTTAACTGTAATATTTTTCAACAAGAAAAATTATAATTTTTTTCATTTTTTGCATGTAGAATATTTTATAGGTCTAAAGAGAAGAAGAAGAAGAAAAAAAAAAAAAAAAAAAAAAAAAAAAAAGCTGAAATAAATAAATAAATTATATCAAGTTAGATATATAATAAAAATTACTCAAGCATTTGATAACCAATAGTTTTCTCTGGTAACAAATCCAAGTAGATGTATTGGAAGTTTTTTCATAAATGAAGTAAGTTGCAATATTATATGATCAATTTTTGTAGGTATTTTTGTTCTTTATTAATTTTCTATAATTTAAGTTCATTTTCATGCTTAACATTGCTCCTCCATTTCCTCATTGAATCCCATTTCACAAAGTCACAATCAAAGCCACAGTAACCACAACATAAATGTACCTATGATCTAATTATATTGGGAAATAATTGACCTGTTTTACTATTTAACTTTGTGTCACAATACATCCCTTGATCTATAATCTAAACAGTCTTGAAGTTTAATATTCAAAAACACTATTGAATTCACTGTTGGATGAAGTAAGCCTCACATCAGTTAAATGAAGGAATAGAGTTTAAGTTGTGAAGTCTTGAACAGTCATGGAGCATAAGTAGAAAATCCAATTGTTTATAAAACCGTTTCTATTTTGTTTTTGTTTTTTTGTTTTTTCCAAACCAGAAGCATTGAAATAATTCTGGAATACGTACCAAAGTTATGAATTTTCATTGCAGCGAGGAAATTGTGAACTAGCACTTTATTTCGAACACAAGCTTGTGATGCCTACTAATCTGACTTGTACAGACTACACCTCACCAACTAAAGTTCAGCTCGGTAACCGAAGTGCATGTTAATCTGTGTTCAAGAAAAAGTATTAGCAAAAGTGGGGATATTGAGGAGAGGGTAGTCAGAGAGTTTGAATTCACAATAGAAGGTGATAATAAAACGGAATCTAAGGCCATCTGTCCAGATCGTCTATACCAGAACTATTTGAAATGTCTTATTACACTTAATTTAATATAAAAAACATCAAATTTCGGGTAGGTTGTCATGGTCAGTAGTCAATTCTGTGTTACGTGACGTCCGCAAGACAACGTCTTCACAACCTTCAGTATTTTGAGGGCCATCGCAATACTTGCAAAAGTGCGTAAAGCCAATACTTGGAGCACATTATAAGATGGTTAAGGCATATAGTACCCCTGGTTCGAGGACCAAATAGAACTTCTTCGGTCATAAAAGTTTTCCAAATCATCTTTCAGGTCATAGTGGGAAGCTATGAGGATAAAAGCTTTGCTCTTCCAAAGAAAATTACACCTCCGGAGACACACAAAATAGGTATCCAACGGCAACATGTCTCGAACTAACCGAGGCAAACAAAAACTCTCTACCGAGAGCAAAGTCTGTAGCCTTATTCTGAAGCACAAATTTCTCTCTTCAGAGTCGTTCGTGCAATTTTTTCATAACTGGTATCTTGTATAAAATCCACTAAGCGTACCCGCGAACTGAAAAACAATGAGTTGAATCACATCTTCAGTCACAACATTGGAGACAAAGCAGTTCACTGCAGAGAGTTTGCTGCCACTGCAGGTACAATCGATAAACCAGTTACGGCCAGAAAAGGGCTCAAAATGCTCAACTTAATATTAAGCAGTTAACTATTTCTCATGGGGTACCCTTAGTGCAAAATCAGCTCACAAAAGCCCAGGAAACAAGTAGGGTTGTCACTCGTGACGAGACTTCTTGTAGTCTCGGTCGGACCAGTCCCTATCTTTAAGATCACCTCGGTGACGATCTCTTTCGGCATCTGGACGATGTTGATCGTACCTGCCATCCAAAGATAAGTAATCAGCACACTCAAACTGCCTAAGTGGCAAATATGCTTCCCTCCATTGTCAGCACAATGCCTCACATTCCCTGCCTTGGAGACATGAACGACAGCTGAGCAACCATTGATTATCCAATGCACACCCACAAGCAGCGCATTGTGCTCATAAAAACCTCTCGAGATAACTTCAGACTGATAGCAATACTTTGTAAAGAAAAAGTGTCCCTGAGAAGGCTCGCATGAAGGCGAGGAAAGCAGAAGGAATTCATAAAACCCTCAAATGTTGTAGGTCATAACGCACTGTGAGATCAAACAGATACCTGTGGTGTGAAGAATGGTAATGGTAATGGTCCCGATTATGTGAGTGCCTTCCATCCTTGTGCCCATCCTTTCGATTCCAATACTGTTCACGGTTTCCGTAGTATCGTTTTTGAGCACTAGGACTCAAGCTACGGTCAGGAAGAGACCGCTTCTCTGCTGATCGTGGTGGAGATCTTACAGAGCCACTTGTGCTTGGAACTTCACCTTCTTCCACCCTTTCAGGAGAACGATCCCTTTGCCCCCTACTGTCTCTATCTACATCCGCATGGTCACTACGTTCGAGTGATTTCCCCTGGAGCCAAAACAGAGATAATATTTTAAAAAACACACATTCAAAAAATAAAGAAAAATATAGAAAAATAAAGAAAAATAAAATAATACATAGTTGTAATTATAGAGGTTTAAAACAAATATTCAGCTCAAAAATTCAATATGTAATAAAATTGATTATGTATTTTTTTAACACAAATAAAAAAGAGCGCGCGCGCGCATACACACACACAAACCAAGCATTAAGAGGGTCGTATGACTTTTTGAACCGCGACAAATCCACTTTATGGTATTAAGTGATCTACAATCATAGCAGCATTCAAAAAGCCTCTGGAAAGAGCAGTGGAAAATCTCAATTTTTTAGAACACATTACAGCAGAATTATTCAATCCTCACTTCTGAACCACTACATAGGAAACAAATGAACAGCAAAAAGAAATTAAGCTTTACCTAGCATTTCAAATACTCCATCCAAACGTATGAAATGTACCTGTTTCCTTTCATGTGGGTAGAAGTCTTTCTCCTTCACAACTTTCTTCCTGCTTGAAGCAGCAAGATCACCCTCAGCAACTCGCTCTTTCAAACCTGCAATATCATGATCAACCTTAGCACCCTTCGCTTCCCCTTCCATTTTCGCCTTGAGCTTTTTGGACCCCAACTGATCCTCCTTGCTACCTACAAGGTCATGCTCACCCCTTAAAGGCTTCCTATCCTTCCTCTCTTTCCCATATTTTTCGGCCTCCGCTACCGCATCCACTCCGCTCTCAAGCTCCCTTTCAAGTAACTCATCTTCATTTATTGGCTCATGGGTAACGTTGGAAGGCCTCGACTCTAACCCTACCCGTGATTTCCTTCTTTTCTCTAATGCAGCTTTAATCTTGTCCGTGTTAACTCCATCCAAGCTCACAAATTCCTTCTTTCTGTCCTTCTCTTCAGTCTCTACTTTTGTGTCTAGAGTCTCGGAATTCACAACTGTATCTGCTTTTTTGTCCTTTCCATTCAAATTTTCACCGTCTTTTCGTCTTTCCCGAGCACTTGGTCTTCCTTCATCACTCCGATCACCTCGACCAACACCATTCTTCACCTCCTCTTGGGTTTCATGACAATGCTCGCCATTAGATTTCACGGATTCCTTTTTGCTAAACGTCTCCGAGTTGATCCTCCCATTCGAGGCCTGCACTCCCGATGTCTCTGGAAAGCCATTGTGCCTAGCATCCGACGGTTGCTCAGAAGAAGGGTCACTGCACCTCCACGCCAAATCAGGTGAAGACGATTGCACCCTGCCTCCAGCATACTTATCATCCCACTGACTAGAAGCTTCATCCATTTTTGATTCCACTGCTTCTGGTTTTGCCATAGGGCTTTGCTGATGATGATACCCATTTGTAGACGGATTTTCCATAGGAGCATGGCCTCGCTTCATTTCGCTGGGGCTTGGATCGTTGGCAAGCGAGCCTGTTGGGCCGTTGGATTTATTCTGCTCGTACAATTCTAGCATCTGATTGCTTACTTCTGCAAACCCAACAAGTATTAGTAAAGACCATACATATTAGAGAAATATTAGATTTTCGACATCTGTTAGCATGAGAACGAGAGAGCCCACCTTCCAATTGTCTAGGGGTAACTTCAAACTGCTGCCACCACACTTTGTCTCCATCTTTGGGTAGGTTCACTTTCAGAAATTTGGCAGCCAAGAAGATAGCTCCCGCAGCAATATGATGAGGCTTGAATTGCAGGCACAGTGATGTGCGAAGACTGCACAACCCTTTCCCCTAGCCTCAGCCATTCTCACTTGCAACAGACATGCTCATTAAACATGCTCTTCTGTAACATAGCTTACCTGGCAAATCTCTAAGGAAAACAATATGACTGTGTAAGCAGAATAACAACTATTTACTGACCAAGAAACCTCATTGGACGATGCTCTAACTACAAAAAAGTAAAAAAAATCTAAAAGAATCCACAAAACACAAGCTATTGTTGAAGCATAAGAATCAATGTCCCATATCCTAACACCTCCTCTCTTAATGGTAAATATGATTCTTTGTTGAAGCAACAAGCAACTCCGATCCTAAGGACTCTACGTGTCATGCCCGGATCCCAGGGCATACCCTAATTTAATCGCAGAGGACGCAGGGAAACACGAGCAAAATTTACAAAGCAACGAAAACTAGTGCAAGCAATAGATGAGTTTAAAGATTTCGGTCCTACTCACCCATCATTTACGAAATTCCAAGCAACCTGTGCTAACGTATTCTGAGCTACTTTGAACTTCTTGATAGCTGCCACTAAGGGCTTGTACGGATGATGTACGTTCAGGTCAAAGCCCAAAGTAGTCAGTAGCAGCCGTTCCCCTCCCAGCACTAGCTCCTTCTGGTCCTCATATACATCCTTGTGAACAAGAAGACCAATCAAAATGAGAAAGCACCGCAAGCGTAAGAAACAACTTTCTAAACTATATACGTAGCCTCTAGCCAATCCCAATGGTATATCTGAATGGCCTGATAAAGATGATCTCAACGAGTCAACCAAAAGCCTAGATTTGCCAGACACCCACTAACTATTGTGTACTACACCATCAATGCTTCATAAACCATTCAGGATAAAAGCTTCCATACAAAAATTCCTATTATACCAAAAGAATAAATAAAAAAATAAAGACAGTCTAGCCGTTCGGACATGCTGGAACAGATGAACTTGACTCATAAGGGCTGAGCAAGATGACACACGGTCAAGAAAACTTCAGCACCACATGGACTCAACAAGCATACTTACCACTCCAACTTGAAGGACCTAATGCACAGAGGACCTCGAAGTGTTTTGAGGTTTCGAATTCTAATCAAAAGACACTTAATTAAAAGCTTAACAGTGCAAAGATACCTTCTGTCTGATTCGCTGCGCAGCAATTGGATCTTTTTTGAATCGAATCTCGTACGAGAACATGATGACTTCTCGGAGCGGCCGAGGAGTCTCTTCCACTTTCCCAGCCAGAAACATGCATATGGTTGCCACCATCTGCCACCATACATATACCACACATCAACATCAAATCATTAATAAAATTAAGGAGCGGTTTCTGCAAGAAAAGGTACAAGTCCATACAATTTCAAGCCCTTGTCAAAGATACGACCCAAATTTGACGTTGGAGATACACTTACATGTCTGTCGTTCTTTTTATGCGATTGACGATGGAAAAACCGATGGCAAAACACAATGGCTGTTGCAATAGTCACTTGAGGCCTGCATCATCATGTTAAAAGACAGACCATGTTACTCCTGAGCTATAATACAAACGTACTATACAAACAACGTAATCACTAAATAATGTTCAACATATCTGGAGATCTTTTAGATAGCACTCTCGCTCTAACACACACCAAGTTAGAGCGGAACAGAAATCGCAAGTAGATGCAAATTACTGCACGCCAGCGCGCGCGCATACACTCACTCACACACACAAACACACAACAAAGCACTTATACGAGGATCCAAGGCTTACACTTTCAGCCGCATTCCAAGGTCCTGTAAAAATGTGCAGTATGACTTCCTGAAATAGGTCTCTTTCTTAATGTCGATTCCATCCAACCTAGAAGGAGACTGTTTCTCAATCTCATCCCGACTAAAGTACCAATTTGCACTAGAGTGATCAGGTTCTTCGAGCTTTCCATTTCCGGTGCTTGCGCCTGCTAATGCCAATTGAGCCGTTGCATCTGCGCCTCCCAGTAAACCTGCCATAGCAGAATAATCTAGAACCCAAACCTTACTACTCGCAGTTCCACTTCCCTCGTCCAGGAAGAAATCCTTCCAAGTGATAATATGTGCAGAATACAACAATAGAGCTCCCAGGGAAGAAGAGGTGAAGACTCTAGGATCTGGTTCAAAGAGAACACTAGTTCGTTCATATCCTCGACAGCACCAGAAATGAAACTCCTCCCTCCTCAGAAATGACTCGTCCTTGTGAAACCACAGTCAAATCAAATGATCACCTGCTTTCTTCGCATCAAAATTTGTTTTCTTAAAAAGCTTTACGTTCACAACTTAACTAAATCATGATCATCATCTTTACAGTGTCCAAAGTATCCTTGCCAGCATCTGCTAGTCCGACGACTGCCTTATGGGACGGAAAGTAGCACATACTTGAAACTCCGTAAGGTAGTCACTCTTAAGCGATAAACTGCAACAATAGAACCTGAGAGTCACAAACAACAAAAGAAACGCTGAGGGCTCTTGAATAAACGCTTTGAAAAACATCCCATTACCGACAACGAAGAAACGCAAAAGCAGTTCCTTGATGGTATTCTAATTTCAAGACAACGAGCTTCAGACCGTACACATCCCCATACAATAGTTGCAGATCCACACATACCATGCTGGATAAAGCTTTATAAACACACCGTTCACAAACTATGGCAAAACGTAGAACCTTCTTTAGAGAACAAGCCTCACTGTCAACCCAACTAGGGGTATTAACGCAACAAACTAAACGCCCTTTCCTTGCACAAGCAATTTCATCATAGAAATACCCTCGCATGGTAACCTAATTGACACGCTTGACTCTCATATTTATTAACTTGTGAAGAGTTCCCAGCATATCCAATTCTTTCAACACAACCATGGAGAATAAGCTCCTCCTCTACAAACTCTCATTTTTTGACGATGGTGGGACCTCGAGTTCCACGACACGTCTCAAGGAAACTCTCTACAGACCTAAATCCAGCTCAAGAGCAAATAGTCTAAAATACTGCCACCCCAGAAACAGAGAATATCCACAATATCACAATATGAACTCTGGCTTCACCCAACATGTGCCGCACCCCGCTGCTTCTACTACCACAGTATAATTTTATTCCAATTTCATTTTATCCTAAGTTCCAAGAGGAGAGAAAAATTACATGAAAAATAATGAAAAATAAAATAAAAACCCAGTCCCTCACCAATCACCCCAATCTCCACGATTGCTCAAAAAGTCAATGACAAATGTCAAACCCACCCAGCAAAAGCGCGACCCCTGGTGGTGATCCACAGCAATCAACACGGCAGACCAACGCCTCAATGAGAGGCAGAAGGGCACGCCCCAACAATTCGCAAAGGGGAAGGGTAGGGGGAGAAGGGATCCTCACGTCTCAGGTCAAAACAGCAAAGAAATTCAGAATTCTCGCCAGCTCTCTCAATTCGTCCTCCTGCAAGCCCACCCTCGACCTCAATGCATCACCCAACGCTCCTCCAATTCAACCCGAATCCGACCGCTCCTCGACCTCACCGTCCAAAACCCGACCTCCACATCCAATCCGCTAAAGAACCCTCAATCGGTGAGCAAAACGGGCATCGGGGTCATAAAATGGAGCGGGAGAGAAAGACGGGAGAAGAGGGGGGGGCGAGGAGAGGCGGGGAGGAGAGGGGAGGTCCAACGAGGCAGGGGCAGCGAAAGGGAAGAAGGGAAGAGGAAGAGAGGGAGGAGAAAGGGGGGGAAGGGGGGAGGGCGAGGAGGCTATGGCGATGGGGATAGAGAGAGGGAGGGAGAGGGAGGGGGGGGGGGGAGGGGAAAGGGGTGGGGGGAGCTGGGCCAGGCATGGAACGTGGCAAACCCTAGTTAGTGTGCCAAGGCAAGTCCCTCCCTCCCTCTTTTGTGCTGATGCTCCTCCTCCTCCCAAGTTATTCCTCGTCTTCGTATTCCTATTCCTCCTATTCCTCTCATAAGCAGAGCATATCACCAGCACGAAAATCCATAGCCCAACTCAATCAATGCCAAAGCCCAAACGAAGAGCGCGTGTCCTCATCAGCATCTGTCTATCTATGTGTCTGTACCCCTCCGGCTCTCCCTATGTCTGTCTGTCTGTTCTGTCTGCGCTGTCTGTAAACTTCCCTTGCTCCACAGGCTTTGGATCTTCTACTTCCTCTTCTTACCTACTGACTTACTTGCTTATCCTGGGGTTTTTTTTTTTCTGCTTGTGTGCTCTAGGCTCTGGATTTCATCGGCTCTTCCATTGTATTTCAAGGTTCCCACTTTCTTTTGCCCATGCAATTATCATCACTCTTTTTTTAACTTCTGCACTCTTAATGTTATAGGTTGGAGATCGAAATGTATCATAGTAATTGTGTGTAACTGTGTATGTATATTTTTTCAATTCTCTTTGGTACTTGGTTGATAGCTAGACTGTTGGTATCTTTGCAAGATTTGTATAAGGTAATGTTTTGTGAACAGCTACCAGATTATCTTAGATAATTTGGATTCTTATTTTTTATCACATGTTTTAATAAATAGATAATCTTAATTTTTTTATTACTTCCAAGATATTTTGTAATATTACATGTGTGTGATATATATATATATATATATATATATATATAGAGAGAGAGAGAGAGAGAGAGAGAGAGAGTGTGTTAGAGACATAGTCCTTAGACCTTTCTAGAGACAAGTTTCTAGAACCTTCTGGAAAGAAGTCTCTAGAAACTTCCAAAAGATTCCTTCAATATTCTCTTAGAATATTCTTCAAAGATTCCCTAAAGATTCTTTGAAGATCCTCTAAAGATTCTCTTAGAAGGCTCTAGAAGATTCTTAGAATATTCTAGTAGATTCTAGGAAGTTACTTGAGAAGCTTCCTAGCTCTTGGGTAGTTGCTCGAGAAGCTTCATAGTTCTTGGGAAGCTTCTTGATGCGCTTCCTTAGAACCATAGGCCAGTAGTATATATAGGAGTCGAGGCTGAAGAGTTCTTTAGTCTCGACAACACATCTCTTGGAGTTCTAGCTCACCTTTCTGGTGTTGTTCTTGTATTCATCTGTTTAATCTAGTTCTGCCACTTCTTCTTGAACTTCTTGTTAGATTTCAAGTCTATATTTTGTGTCCGTGATAGTTTGTCGAGACTACCTTTATCTTAATATCAGAGCTGAATCCTTCTTGTTTGAGAGCGGATTACCCCTCTTCTTGAAGGTATTCTAGTGCTTTAGGGGTTGCGGATTACCTTCCTCTAAACTGATATTTTCTCAATCACAATATTAGAGCTTAGTTCTTTGAGGCAGAGAGTGGACTACCCCTTTCCTTGGAGATACTTGAGCGTTCTAAGGGTTGCGGATTACCCTCTCTTGGACTGATATTAATTCCTTCTTTTTGTTTAGTATAGCTAGTAGAAAAGACTGTTAACATCGATTTCAGAGCTTTGCCTTCTTGATAGAGTGCGGATTACCCCTCTTCTCGAAAGCATTGATGCATTTTTAGAGATTGCGGATTACCCTCCTCTAAAACTGAAATCGTTTAGTGTTTTTTTTTCCTTTTCTCCGAGTAGGTTTTAGTGACAGGTAGTGCTACAATTTTCTCCAAGAGACTTAGCAATTTCTTCTTCTCTCAAAATTTTAATCCATCTATTCTCTAAATATGGAAGTAGACCAGGTCATAGACAGTGCATCTCCACAAGTAGACAATAGAGTGGCAACTCTTGCAGATCTTCAAGCTCTTATGAATAGTGTACGAAAGGAGATTGCATTTCTTCGCAATCCAAGTAAAGAACCTCAAATTGATCTAGTGACCGAAGAAGCTAGACGCGAAATTCATAGCCTACAACAAGAGATTATTCGACTGAGAGAAGCAAGACATGTGTCACATACGACCCCTATAGATACTTCAAGGATTAGTACGAAAGAACCAAAAGCGAGTATGCCAGATAAGTTTGACGGAACAAGAGCCAACTTCCGAGGTTTTGTGCAACAAGTACGACTTTATCTACGCCTATACCCTTCTCGTTATCCGAATGGATTTACCCAGGTTGCTTTCATAGGTACTCTTCTATTAGGAAATGCTCACTCTTGGTTTGCTCCACTATTGGAGAAGGATTCTCCAATATTGTACGACCTAGAGGCTTTCATAGAGAGACTTACTACTGCGTTTGGAGATAGCGATTGAGAAAGAGTGGCTGAAAGAAAGATACAAAATCTGCGACAAGGATCACGTTTTGCTGCAATCTATGCTGCAGAATTTCAACAGCTTACATGTGATCTTGATTGGAATGATAAGGCATTCATGACACGATTTCGATATGGACTGAGAGATGATGTCAAGAACTTATTGATCACCATGCCTAAGGCGGATACTTTAGAAGAACTTATATCTCAGGCAATTATTTGTGACAACCGCCTCTTTGAATTATGACAAGAAAGACGATCAGGTTGGAGAAATGATAGAGCATTTGCTACATTTTCAAAAGGTCCAGAGAATCACTCCACAGATCCTGAACCCATGCAAATTGATGCGATACGTTTCAAACCCCTCACAGCTGAGGAAAGGAAGCGACGGTTTGAACAAAACTTGTGTTTATATTGCGGAGAAGCGGGCCATAAAGCTATAGATTGTCGGAAGAAACAGAAGCCTCAAACAACAAGACTCAGGAGTACAAGCATGCAGGAAAACAAGGACGCCCAGCCACAATAGGGACCGTGCGACTGGACATCTCAACATCCAAAATTAATCAAGGTCCCTTTCTCTCAGCTCAACCTTCAGATTGTTTTATGGTACCTTTACATCTGGGTATTCAAGAACTACAAGTCGATGTTTTATTAGACTCGGATGCATCCGCTTGCTTTATAGATGAAGAGTTTGTCAAGCTTCACAATATTTCTCTTGTAAAGAAACTTAAGCCTGTCCATGTAGAAGTCATAGACGGACGACCATTGTCTTCGGGCAATGTTATCTATAAAACTAAACCATTGAAGGTACGTCTTGAAAACCATGAGAGCAATATTGTGTTTAATGTTATCAAGACCCCTTCATGTCCTATCATTTTGGGACTATCTTGGCTTGATAGATATAATCCATTGATAGATTGGAAGTTGCGGAAAGTGACGTTTCCAACAAACTCCTTGAAGGTGGAATCTGCCAAGACAATGTCTAGAAACAAATCCTTGTTTATAGGTGCAAGGGCTTTTATGAAGGAAGCCAAGCAAAATACACCTCTTGTCATCTTCGCAACTCCGACTCGAGAAGATGCAACTCCGACTTTGGTTATTTCAAAGCAGTATGAAGAATTCAAAGATGTCTTTGAAAAGAAGAATGCTGATATGCTGCCAGAGCATCGACCCTATGACTGTGCCATTGAATTGCAAGAAGGAGCACAACCACCTTTTGGACCAATCTACAATTTGTCGCAGACGGAGTTGACTGAATTGCGGAAGTACATTGACGAGAATCTAGCCAAGAACTTCATCCGTCATTCGAAGTCGCCAACTGGAGCACCAATCTTATTTGTGAAGAAGAAAGATGGCTCACTACGGATGTGCGTGGACTATCGAGGTCTCAACAAGGTGACAAAAAAGAATCGCTACCCACTGCCTTTGATCTCTGGTCTTCTAGAACAACTTGGGCCTGCAAGGATCTTTACAAAGATTGACCTAAGGGGAGCTTACAACCTTGTGCGAATCAAGGAAGGAGATGAATGGAAGACAGCTTTTCGAACAAGGTATGGCCATTTTGAATACAATGTCATGCCATTTGGTCTTACTAATGCTCCAGCGGTCTTTCAACACATGATGAATGACATCTTTCGAGAGCATCTAGACGATTTTGTTGTCATCTATCTAGATGATATTTTGATATTTTCTAAGAACGAGGAAGAACATGAGAAGCACGTTCGTCTGGCACTCAAAAAACTACGGAAGCGAGGACTCTATGCCAAATTGGAGAAGTGTTTATTTTACCAAACTGAGATGGAGTTTTTGGGATTCATCGCGACTACGGAAGGATTGAAGATGGATCCAAAGAAGGTGGAAGCAATCATATCTTGGGAAGTTCCG